ATATTTGGCTCATGTATTTATAATTTTATTTTCTTTTTTATACATTGTTATATTTTCCAAGCCTTCTACAATAAGAGTGTAACTTTTCTACAGATTAAAAAGCCACAATAAGTGTTATAGTTATTTTGAGAATTTCTACCAAATGTTGCCTCCTCCAGAAATTATTGTGACCACTCCAAAGGGACTTGGAAGCCCCTCCTCAGAGTTCTTGCAGAATCCCATAGTACCTTCTACCATTCACTAAGCACACTGGATTTTAATTGCTGGATTTTCTATTTCCCAACACTTACTTAGAGCTCTTTGAGGGAAAAGATTCTTTAATCCCCAAATCCCTGGGCCTAGCACATACGCTAAATACTCCTAAAGGTTTGTGGACCAAATGAAAAAATCAGATGAGTAAGGGATATGCAAACCCAGGCATTCTCATTGTAAATCCAGTTGCATCTTCCCTGGGACAAAAACGATCTGGGATTTCCTCCACTGGGGACTGTGACCTGGAGCCTACAAGTACTGTATATGAGTAGATCTTAAAGCACTGTCCCTTTGAAGAGTCATCGCCAGGGTGGTGGGGAAAGCCACAGCTAAAATCCAAGTTGGGTTTTCTTGGCAATAACCAAGATGAGTCACGAGGTGGCACTTAGAGGATTCCCCTGCTCATTCCTTTGGGATCACTCATTCCTTCCAAGGCCTCCCCTGGGAACAAAGGAAAACCCCAGGACTTGGCACTGGGCTGTTTTCCACCAACAACTGCTAATAGTTTGCATTTAACCCTAAAACACGATTAAAATCAATGCGGCGGTAGGGGAAGGAGTAGGTAAGCATCCGCTAGGAAACATTTAGGTTTTCTCTAAATTTCTTCCAGAAAATTCTTCTAAAGGACTTTTAGGGCCAAGCAGGCCCACTGCAGAGCAAAAAGAAGCCTTAGAAACTCAGTTTTTAACAATATTAACCACACTGAAACTGAACCATCGACCAAGTGAAACCACACAAACCAGGAGGGGTAAATCCCCTGTTCAACAATGGGTTTGTAACGGCCCTAGAACTGACAAGCTAGACAGCACCCTCCCTCCCGCGCCCCGCGGAGCAGGTGGGACAGAGACTCCCCCGGGAGACGCCCGCCTAACCGAGGCGCAGGCCGCGGAGACCCGGGACAGACGCACCTCCTAGGCCCTAATCTGAGAACAACCAAGTCCGAGCGCCTTCGAGGTCGCTAGGCCTCCACGTGCCCCTCCCTGCAGTGTCATCTAGAAAATAATTCCTGGACCCGTAGGTTACCGAAGAGCCGGTTATCTCTGGTGCCGGGCCAGCAGCCCCACCCTCAGAAGAACGGCTGGTTTCTTTGATTTCTACGCTCACACACTTTCTAAAACCAAACCCGAGAGGAAGGGCACGGCCAAAGGTGGGGCTGTCCTGAACTAGTCGAGAGCAGGAACATTCCTGCTAGAGTTTACCACGACGCTCTCGGGGGCGGGCGAGGCCGGAGTGCGGCCCGTCCTCGGAGCAGAGCAGGGCGTGTGCGGAGCGCGCGGGGAGGAGGGGCGTGGGGGGCAGGAAGAGGGGGAGGAGACCGCGCCGAGCCAGGCTCCTCCCCCTGGGCCCCCGCAGCGCACTAAGTCTCGCCGCCTGCCGCGCTCTGCTCGCCGCTCCGCGTCCCAGCTCTCCCAGCGTCCGCGCCGCTCCTCACGGCCCAGGTGAGCTCCGCCCGGCTCCGCGCGCTGCCCCTCCGGGTAGTCCCCAGCCCCGAATCTGGCACCTGGGGGAACCCCCTCCCGGCTGCGCGGGGTGTCTTGGGCACCGCGGGGCCTGGACGGGAAGCGGCGGGAGGGGAATCCGCTGCACCGCGCGCCGGGCCACACCCAGGCGAGGCGAGCAGCGCCCCTCCCCGGCCGGGAGCGGCCGCCCCCAGACCCTCGCGGACTGGAGGAGGGGGCACTTGTCCTTTACTACGGAACCCTGGTCCTGGGGTTTTCCTTTGGCGACCTCTGCTGCCGTTCTTCACTCCCACCGTTCCCACTTTGCGACTAGTCGCCTGAGTCATCCGAGCCCCTGCTTCTCGCGCCTGTCCTGCGGGCATGTTCCCTCGTGGGTTCCGGCGGCAAGCTGACCCCTGTCCAGATGTGGACGGCCAGAGAGGGCTCGGGGAGGCCGGAGAAGGGCTGGGCGGGTCGGCAGCTGGGGACTGCCCTTCCTAAAGGGTGTTCCTCAGCCCCTTGCCCGGACAGATGCCTCAAGTTGGGCTTCCTGTTGTCTGCCAGACAGGAAGGGTCTTCCTGCTGAGGGAGGGAGGTCTATTTTTTTTTCTTTATAAAGCAGTTTTGCCCGGGGGCGGGCGGGGGGTCCTGGGGGGAAGGTTGTAGAGGAGGGACTGTGTGAAGTGATTTCTCAACTGAAAGGATGCCCTTCTTGCATCTTAATTAAATAAGTGGAACCAGAGAGAGATGGGAGAAGAGCAGACTTGAAGGATTTTCCAATCCAGACTAATTCTGGCGCTGTGCGGTGAGACAGAGACGGATGTGCTGTGGGGAACTTGCCTCACAACCTGAGCGTGGCCAAAGGGAAGGCGCTTCCTCCAGCTCTGGATTCCGCACTCTCTAGCCTGGTCAGCTCTGCCTAAGTGAAACCAGGAACTCTGCCGTGGTGGGGGTGGGGGATGCAGAGTTGCCACAGGCCAGCCGAGTGGAACCCTAAGCCAGACTCTGGGATGCATTAAGCCCACCGCCCCTTCGGCCCCCACCCAGGCCCAGGGGAGCTGGAAGCATCTGCAGGGCGTGGCCAGCACGAAGGGTTCCAAGATTCTCCCAGTGGTCCGAGGCCTGTGACTCAGCTGTGAGACCATGTGGGTGTAGCTGGTTGCAGATACTTTCTGTGGATGGTTTGGACAGAACACTCCCTGAAGGAAAAGGGGAACTGTGCCATCTTAGAGGGCATTTTCCAAGAGGAAGTGAGTCACCCCAGGTCGGGTTGCCAGTCTGAAGACCGAACTGCAGGTGATGGCAGTAATTAGATGCACAGGGCCGTGGCCAGCACCGCTCCTTATCGGCCTGTGTGCGCCTGGCAGCCTGTCTCAGCCTTACTTGGGAGGTAGCTTTTCCGTTAAGAGGTTTGCAGTTGTTGCGGATTGTTTTTTCCTCGGAAGCTTGAATTTCAGCCTCCAGGAGTAGATTTTTGTGTTCTGCGTTTCAGGTGAGGCCGGGCTCATGGAAACACCTAGTCAGTGATTTTTGCCTCTGACATTTTTCAGCAAATTGCAGTAGATATGCCAGGGGTTGAGGCAGGAATAAATTCATGTAACTCCTTTGAACTTTTATCATCAGCCCTGCCCCCACAGATTGCTCTCCAGTTCCTATTTAATCATCCCTTCTAAATGGTGTATACATTCCTTCACAGCCAGAGAGTAGTTTCTTCAGGGTGGTCCTTGATCCACCATTTGGAGTTTCTTACTTAAGTTCTTCACTTTTTCTTGGTCCACTGGCTGTAAAGCAATTGTTCGGTCTCACCCCGGGTTCTAGGTGATGGTCTTCTCTGGCTTTTCCTGGATACCACATCAGATGGGCCCTTTCCCCCAGTGTCTGGCCTCTGGCCAGCCTCTTGAACAGCCACTCCAGTGAGGTTGGGCCTTGGGCTGGGTGGAGCTAAGACGGGGTGCCTCCCTGCCTTCCACTGACAGTTGAAAAAATGTGACTTTTTTAGAGCACTGCCCACTTGGTATGCCCTTGGACACAGTCCAGTCTTTCCAAAGTGTAAAGCTGAGGGGAAACAATGGAATTCTTTTAGAGTTATAATGTACAAATTAGCACTCAAAGTGCTAGGAAAGCTGGACTAAAATTTTAGATCTCTCTTAAGTGTCTCATTTTTCCAGAGACTCAACAATTTAGGAATCTCACATCAAAAGCAAAAAGAAATAATTTACTTTTTTAAAAACAATTTTCAGCACTTCCTTTCCCTTCGCTAAATAACTACCACCACCCCACCAAAGGATTTAATAGCAATTGTCACAATTGCTGTCGTTGGCTGATTTGTGCTGATGCCTGACAGTTCTTCAAGAAACAATGAACGTACTTGATTGAGTGAGAGGAGGTTTATGAGTTCTTTCTTCCTATTGAATTGCAGCTGGAATTCTCCTTTGATGACCGCTTCTTTCTCATGGGCAAGTTTTATGTGGTGAGAAGTAGGAGAGACAGCCTGGATCCAGATCCATTGCTTCAACTCATTTTTTTTCCCTGAATTCTCTTTAGGATCAAACTCAAGAATGTCTTCTGGGTTCAATTTTCCAGAAAAAAAAAATTTTTCCCCAAATTTCCAAAGTGAAACGAAAGAAAGCTCAAACCTATTTTAAATAACAGATGCTTGTTCTTCCTGACACCCTGCCAATTATTTTCTGGGTGGGCTGTAAGAAAACTAGGGTATGGTCAAGATACAGAAGAGTAAAGTACATCAGATCGCTTGCTCCTTAGAAGTGTCCTCTTTGAAATCGTGGCCTGGATCTGGGCACTGGTCCAGAGCAAACATTTGGGATTGCTCAGGAGCAGATGCTTTTCTAAGGAGGACTCCTGCTTCCCTGCTACTCCCAGGATGACCAAAATTACATTAGGACTGTCAGTTTCATTCTTCCTGATTCATTGAGCAGGCTCTACGAGGGCTGGGCACTAGCCACTGGGACTCTGCTCAAGGAGCCCACCATCTAGTGAGGAAAGAAACAGAAACAAATAACCAGAATTCAGAACAGACTTTTAAATAGTATTCTGTTAGCTGGTGAACTCCTCAAAGGCAAGTATGTATGTGCGTGCCCACGTGTGTGTGTATTCCTTGTGCCTACCACTATGTCCAGGAAATGCAAAGTAGGTGCTCAATATAGGAGAACCAAAAATGGAAAATTGAATTCCTCCCACAATAACTAAATTTGTGGAGTCCAGAATGGTTTTCTGTAGAGAAAACTACACAAAGAAAGACTTCTGAGCCTCCATTCTTAAGACCTGTTGCTCAGGCAGACATATAGAGAGCATACATAGAAAGGCATCAGAATAAAATGATTTAATAAAAGGTGAGTAAGCCTCTTACATCCTGGGAAGCTCAGCAGTGAGACAGCAGCACTAAAGAAAGAAACATGAAGTAGAAGGTAGGATAAATGAAAACATGAGAAAACAGCAAGAGTGAGAGGAGAGAAGTCATGTCAGTCTGACCAGACCTGTTTAGCAGGACACATATTTTTTCCTTTGGGTATGGAATGTGCTGTCCTCTGTACTTTACTGTTCCATTCACAGGCAAACCCTTTTGGGGCCCCTTTCCTGGCCCTTCCCAGCCCTCTCCTCCTCCCTAGTTCTGAGGTATGAGGTTTTCAGCCTAGCCCTGGGTAGTCACAACTTGCACCTCAGCTACTGCCAAAGGGATTGTTTGATTCATTGATTTACTTAACAGTTATTTAGTGCTCCATGGATAAAAGCAGAATAATTCATGGCTCTTGACCAAGAGAAGCTTAAATTTAAATCTGAGACAGACAGGTAAACAATTAAATGTGATGGAGGGTTTCAGTGCAGGACTAGGTCGTTGGGGGCACAGAGAGGGCACTGCTTCCCCTCAGCTACAGCCCCAGGTTCTCCTGCCAAAGTGTGTCCCACCAGGAAGCAGGAGGCCCACCTCTGCCCAGGAGTGGAGCTTGTAGGGCGGCTGGGTGGGAGTGGAAATGCCAGATTTAAGTCCCTGAAGAACTTATGCTTTAGCAAGCAACGGTCAGTGCTGCAGTCGGCCCTGCCCAACCCCACCCAAGAAGGGAGGGCAATGCAGGGCTCACTCAGTGGGGCAACCGCTACAGTTGCACAAGAGCTACAAGACTCATCCTCTGGCCAAGAGAACAGAGTTGTAATCACAGTATTTCCCCCCCGTTCCCTTCCTCTTATTTTAAAACCAGCTCCTTCAAAACAGAATCCCTTGCTTGTAGCCCTGGTCAGTGCCCTTTGGGACACTGGTTACTGATGAGACCAAGGGCATTTCCTCTGGTTTTCAGTGCTGTTTTCACCTTCTGGCTAGCCCCTGCTCTGCATTCTTACTGCAAAAGGTCTACTGGACAAATAAAAAGTCAGCTGGCTGCTGTATTCAAAATCCATTTGCTGAATAAAATAGCTGGGGGAGGT